CCCTTACTTGTCAATCTCTCATTACCACTATTCTTATTTGAGCTTAGTAACCCAAGCAAGGCAGCCCACTGTTCATCATTCAATCCACTAAGTCCTTTTCTATCACAGTCAGATTCTGCTCCTCGCCCACCGTCAACACCGGATGCTTGAGTTGCGTTTGCCTGCATAATTCCTGGCTTGTTACGACTACTGCCAGTACTACGCTTTCGTCCACCACTTCGTCCAGTGACGCTTGTGCGTGGTCTATTTCCCCACCATTCAAGATATCCTGTGAGTTGGAAACATTTATCAGCATCATGTCCCTCTCTGTTGCAATTAGAACAAATCACAGATTTGTCTTTGTCCCCCCTTGAATTATGACCACCTGTTTGAACAGCAAAACTCATGGGACTGCTTCTTTCCTCTCTTGTTCGTGTAATGGTTCTCACCCGTTCCTGTTGAATAACCATGGCATATGCCCGATTCAGGTTAGGCAATGGTTATGTGCTCAGAATATTGGAACGCACTGTTCCATATCCTTCTTCATCCAAACCCATCAAAAACGGATGAACTCTCTCTTGTTCGCGTTTCCTTTCGAGCTCAGCGGTGAGATTGCATTTACACCCGGTACAAGTACATACTGGTATTTGATCATAGTTGTTCAATTCATCCCACAAAGCTTTGAGTCTTCCATAATAAGTAATCACAGCATGCCCATCTTGCTTACAATTTGCCAGATCAAATCTTAACTGTTGTACTCGAGGACCATTTCCAATGGAGAATCGCTGCCTAATATCCTCCCACAAATCTTTCACATTCTCCATATAAGATATCATCAAATGAATTGTAGGCTCGATTGTATTGAACACCCAAGACACAAGCATAGAGTTAACTGTCTACCAATCTTCAAGTTCCAACGAATTATCTTCCGGTTGCTTGACAGTTCCATCGATAAACCCATATTTCTTTTTGGCTCGTAGAGTGGTTCGTACTGCCCGTGCCCATTCATCATAATTCTCACCTTTCAATTGAACTTGAGTGATTATGTTTCCAGGATTATCATTCGGGTTCAGTGAGTAGAGGTTTTGTGTTTTCTTGTTTAAACCAGAAGTCCCTACATCTTTCTTGTCGTCACCACCCATGGCTCTGATACCATGAACAAATATGATGAAATCGTTTCTGCTCTCATTACTGATCCCAACAGGAATATATACAAGATTTTACAGCTCAACAAATCTTATAAAAGAAGAAAAAATCTATACAAGAAAATAACTTCCAAAACTAACGCTCCTAAATAAAGCCTAAATAAGAAAGAAAATATTCACAAAAGTTGTCAAACCAATTGCTGAAAATAATGCTCACATACAATAATTCTTACTTCCACATTTGAAGCCTGGTTGAATTGTGAGACCACATTTCCTTGCTACAATAACTGCATTCATCATGTTAAATAGCTTCATCACAATAGGAGTAACAAAATTGCAAGCACAAGGGATGTCGAATTTGTTCACCGCGATACAACACTCTCGCGATAGATTTAGTTTCGGATTTTCAACGAAGCATTGTTTTCTAAGGTTGGAAACATTTCCTCCGCATAGTGTTTGTTGCGAGACCCCAAGATGAGCGAGCATCAAGATAGCCACCACCATCACCACCACTTCGCCATGGATATACCTTGAGAGTTTACCATCACCATTTATTGTTTATACTCTATTGCTAAATTTGAAAATATTGAAATTAAATGTAAAGAGTTAATATTAGTTTATGTAAATAAGGTTAATTTAGAGTGAAAAAATTAATGCTTTTAATTGATTAATTAAAAAAGAAGTTAAAGTCTTTCGGAAAGTACATAAATGAGCCTTATCTTGTAATTAATTTCTTTTTCCATATTTAGTAGATAAATAAATATTATTCCATAATAATAATGGAAAGTAGTTGTAATTAACACAACTGGAGTCTAACTTATATTTTGTTTATAAAAAAACTCTTTATTAAAAACTCTTGGATAAGGGGTACTCAATATTTTTCAATAATAAATATAAAGTGATCTTACATGAAGGGAGGTGTACAACCCATTCAAACTCGAAAATTTGACATGGACCAAATCGATCTAAGCAGGTTGATTCAGTTTTGTAGGAGTGTTCAGATTACACAGGTACAAAAAAAAGAGAAATCGAATTTTTTATGGTCGAGGTAAATGAATAAATCGTAAAATTTTTGTCAAAATAATTGATATGGTTTTTATGATAATTAGTAGCCATTCAAGGGTCTGAAAATGAGAGCTAACAATGAGGTTGCTTTTCTTGTAATCAAAACCTCCTCTTAACACATCATTTCTAAAATAATATTAATATCATCCAACATTAAAATACAAAAATTTAGATAAAATTTCTAAAATATATTTGCATGGTTTAGTAATATATTCTTATTTTTATTCTCATTAGTACAGTGTAATATTATAGGCTGTGTTTATTTCCCTATTCTTATCATATCTTATTCAAAATATTTGTTTGTTTCACTATTCACAAAATTTAATCTTATTCTATTCAATTCAAAATATTTTTCTTAACCCCCTAGGTTTGTTAATTTAACTAAACACCCCCAACCAGCCGGTCATGTACCATTCTAACGACTTCCAGCCACCCTTCGAACGGTGTTAGCCCGCTGCTGACATTTAATCTGTGAGTGAAGGTATTTTTGTTAATTTTAAAACTTTTATTGCAGGGGGTGTTTAACTAAATTAACAAATATAGGATATTAAAAAATAATTTTATCAAACACATTTTCAAATTCAAATTTTATCCTCATAATGATAACACAACTCAATTTTTTCAAAAATACTTCTTAAAATAATAAAATAAACACACCCATATATCTTAAAGTTTAGTGTAAACTTTGTATCGTGTTAGGCAGAATCTTAACGGGGCCATAATAATAAGATTACAAAAAGGAAGAAAAAGAATCACGAATTAAATGAAAAGTTGTAGTTCTCCTCAAGCGTGTGTTTATAATTATACATTGTTAATTGGAAACGTATTTTGTGGAAATATTTTATGTTTATTTAAAATATTTAAATCTTATTTTGAGTGAGATTTTTTGTGGTTGATATTGCCATGTGGACCAATTGTATGAATTGACTTACACAAAATGCGGCAAAAACGANAGAAATTAAGTTGATAAATAATTAAATAAAAGAGTGCATGCCGTCCAATAAAATTTCTACCGCCCAAAAAGCAAGTTATATTTTTTTTAAACCACCCCACTGCAAATAAAAGGCCAAATCAACTTGTTCATCAATGTCATTTTAGTGGTGCATATGTATATTTAATTATAAGCTATTCTTGAAAGTTTGATGATATTGATATACATTCCACACATTGTTATTGTTCGATCAGGGGAAAGAATCAACTAACTCTCAAACCCATTTCATTCTAATTAAATAAAATATACATGTGTGTATATCGAGTGTTATGATATGATACTTTTGGGAAATTATTGCCAATATTCAAATTAACAAGTAACCCATAGTTATCTGAAATCTGAATATTAAATCTAAGTCCGCCAATTAACCCATTTAATTCACAGAAGAACACAGTCAAGTGTCATAATCTAACATTGACAGAAGTTCCTTAAGCACAGCTAGCTTCCATAATCAAATCTCATTCTGATCCAAATTTTCGAAGGAATCTAGCCAGGCGGCCACCACCGAAAATTGAAAGTTTAAGTGATACGTAATATGAAATAACTCCAATTTAGTAATTACATGCACAAGCTCAATGCATTGAATGTAGCCATGCAACGGTGCCTGTCGCTATCGAAAATTGTAAATTTGCAACAAAATATAAATATCAGTATACGGGATTCCAAGAGAATAACCATGTATTCCATGTGTATTGTACGAGAGATATGTATCATTTTTGTATATTAAAATGATTTGATATCTTCGATAACCAGAGAAGCAATATATATGCATATAGGCAAAAGACTTGAGATTCAGAATAATATCATCTATAGATGGTATAATTTGGAATATGACACAATATTAATATATATGTCTTATCAACGTCTTGATAAATATGTTAACTTATATATCTAGTTGTGACTGTTAAAATTGAGAGAGAAGCTCTAATATCATGTCAGAATTGAGAGGACAAAATAAGTAATTGAAGAAAGTCAAAATATGTTTAAGAGATATCTTTAAGAGAGCAAGAGAGATAACTGAAAGGGTCGAATATGCCCGATAGATGTTTGAGAGGAATTCAATTAAATTGTATTGAGTTGTTGTAAATTGTATGTAAATATACAATCTATTTATACAAAAGTGTGATAACTATATAAAGATATAAAATATTACAATAATGATGCAATCTTTGTAATAAAGGAAATATAATAATATCCAAAATACAATAGGAATGAAAATAATCACATATTTTCATTTCATATTCGTATATCAACACAAAAAGTTTATAAAAGGAGTATTATTGGCTGACATGCAATCAATCCTCTAGTTAAATGGATTATGGATAGACTAAGGTTATCCGTAGTTATGGGATAGGTTATATTGTATATTTAGAATCTTAGTTTGTTTAAAATGATAACTAATGGCCCCATAATGTTAAAGTATCGTAAAACCAAATGAGAATTTCTATTACTGTAAGCCAGTATCATACATATTATGATCTAGTTGAAATTAACCCTTTTTTGGCTTTAAAGAGCACAATAGATTTGCTTTTCTCCTAATCTTGGCAAATATGGAAACCATAAGTAACATTATTATACGAACAGGGGGTAATTAAGTTTATTCTGGTATTGTAAATCTTCCACAAACTGTGTATGATTCTCAACATATGGGGGTGTGGTTTAAGAGGCTTTAGTGTAATATTAAAAATTACAGTGGCATATTTATAAGATATAAATTGCAAACGTGACACCTAAAATTCCTCTAATCCAATATTAAATATTTTTTTTTTTTTTATTTCTACGTCAACTTCCATTAAGTTGATTCACTATAAAAAGGGTTGCCGCTCTTTGAAATTCTTTAGGGAGCCTCCCAATTGAATGATATTCCCTACTCCCAGTCATATTTAATTAATGGCAGTGACGAGTTCAACCCACAAGGTGAATTTCGGTGACCCTAGAAAGTTTGTGACTACGTTTAAATCTAAATGCAAAGAAACCCTCTTCCCAGATGATCCATTCGCACAGTTTAAAAATGAAAAACCAAGTCTCAGAGCCAGGAAAGCTCTACAGTACTTCATTCCAATCTTCGAATGGATATCTACATATGATTTCAAAATGTTCAGGTATGATGTCCTCGCCGGCATTACCATTACCAGCCTTGCCATCCCTCAAGGGATCAGCTACGCGAAACTCGCCGACCTTCCTCCGATCATCGGCCTCTGTAAGCTTCTTCTCAATTTCTTTTTCTTCTTTTTTCATCGCCTTGCTGGCTAGTTAATCATAAGATCGATATTAATGGGTGAGATTTACCGAGATAATGACTTGCACCAAATATGTAGTGAGATTCGGGTGCAATTTCAGAATATAAAGGTAGATGATGACAGGTTTAGAAATTCCAAACCAAATAATAAAGGATGAACGTATTGAGACTTTAAATTTGTGTGTATGGTTTACTAATGCATAGATTAATGTATCAGAGTAGAATAAAATGTATTACTTAAAGATTTATATAAGTAATTCTACCTTCGGTGGAGAGGCATAATCATAGATGGGCTGGCTGTTGCAGATTCGAGCTTTGTTCCGCCCCTTATATATGCCATTTTCGGGAGCTCAAAGCACCTTGCAGTGGGAACGGTAGCAGCATGCTCGCTGCTTATATCTGAAACAATTGAACGAAAGGTAACAGCTAAAGATGATCCTACCTTGTACCTTCACTTGGTTTTCACAGCAACCTTCTTCACGGGCATTTTGCAGACAGCTTTAGGTTTCCTAAGGTAATTAAGTTAATTGAATTAATCTAGCTACTACATATCTGTATCTTTACTTCATCAGTAAATTAATCAAAATCATAATGACCGACTAATCTATGCAGGCTTGGGATCATAGTAGATTTCTTATCACATTCCACCATCACTGGTTTCATGGGAGGCACTGCTATAATTATCTGCTTGCAGCAATTGAAAGGCCTCCTTGGCATGAAAACTTTTACTCATAAGACCGATGTGATTAGCGTCTTGCATGCAGTCTTCAAATATAGAAAGGAGGTGCGTTGGATCAAAATTAAAGTAAAAAAATATACACATTTTTCACTTTTCTTTTCAAGGATGAAATATTTTGATTATATCAGACAATGAAAATTTAACGTCAAAATTTCATGATCTTTTATTTCTTAAATCTGCTTTTTGTCTATACATTGCATGTATTAGCTAATATGAATCTCTTATTAATTCATATGCATCCTATCTCACTTCAACACAGGTCATTCTCTTTTGAATATTATATGCATCTTATCTCACTTCAACACATGTCATTCTCTTTTGAATATTATATATATAAAATCATTTTCTCATGGCAAATATTGGCAACTTGTCATCTACTCCATATATATAAAGTATACGCAATTAAGTGAGTGGAAAGCTAAAGTAATGAAAATGATGAGTTAGTTTGTTGCAATATTACAGTGGAAGTGGGAGTGCGCTGTTGTAGGTATAATCTTCCTAGCTTTCCTCCAATTCACAAGGTTCCTGGTAATTTCCCTTGATTGCCGCTTGACTCGCCTATCATTCATCATTCTCTAACTATATGGTTTAAGTAAATTTCAAACTTATCTAATTTTTTTCCAATTGTAAAATTAATTACAGAGGCAAAGAAATCCAAAACTATTTTGGGTATCAGCAATCGCTCCTATTATCACTGTCATAGTTGGCTGTCTTTTCGCTTATTTGGCAAAGGCCGAGAGTTTTGGAATCCAAATTGTAAGTGCATCTTTTTAGCTCCTGCGGGATACTGTGCAGTAATTTCTTTTACTTTGAAACTTTATTACTTTTGAGTGGGATTTTAACTAAAAACCCCCACTTAAATTTTTAAAATAAACTTATATGACTTTTTATGTGTCAACTCCATATTGATTATGACAAAATAACATATGTATCACATCATCCTATAATATAATTTTCTCATAAGATAAGGAAAAAGTCCTCTCTGGATATATGAAAAGGATAAGTTAAAGTGAAGCAAGAAAGAGAAAGGAAAGAACTATAATGTAGTTCCCTTAATAATAAATTTAAAAGTTATTAAAATACATTAAATTTTTATCAACGATTTAATTATAGCTTAATAATTAAAATAGAACTGTTTAGCTTAGGTTGCCTACATCAAGACAATTCCCAGAAAAAAACAATGACTATGAACTTCTAAAATTATATAAATAAAACTGAAAAGAATTGTCAATAAAATTATTTACAGTATGTAATGAATTAATGTAAGTGCTTGTCCCCTGTGTCAGGTGGGTAATCTGAAAAGAGGGTTGAATCCTTCTTCCCTTCACTTGTTAAACTTTGACCCTGAGTATCTGCCCTTTACTTTGAAAGCTGGGATCATTACAGGGTTTGTGGCCTTGGCGGTAAGAAAACTTTCCTCGCATTTATACATAAACGTATGAAAATATCTTTTACTTTTTCAAGTAAACTCTCTTCTCTATTTTCGTTAATTAAGTTGTAGAATTTTATGAACATATTCAAAATAATGCAATCAGGAAGGAATAGCAATAGGAAGAAGCTTTGCCATTATGAAAAATGAGCAAATTGATGGGAATAAGGAGATGGTAGCTTTCGGTCTCATGAACATTATTGGTTCGTTCACTTCATGCTACTTGACGACTGGTATATACAAAATTAATTTATTTCCTTTTTATTTATAGGGTGCGTATGTTTTAGTATTTTTGAAAAAATAAGAGTTAGACAGTAATAACGAGATAGGATTTGAAAATTAACAAAAATACTCTCCTAAATTTGTTAATTTCTAAACATCCCTGTAATAAAAATATTAAAAATTACAAAAATACCCCCACCTACTCATTAAATACCAGCAGCTAACCACCCCGCTGGAGGATTGCCAGAGTTGTCATATCGGCATTCGACCAGCAGGATCTAGTCAGTCGTGCGTCGAAATGTCATTTTCTAGTGAGATCCACCGTGGATCTAGCCATTGATGGCTAGATCTGACCGCATTTGGTCGTCAACGATAGCCAAAGATATGGCCGTCATTGACGACTAGCTAGGGCTAAAGATCTGATCATCAACGGTCAGATCTTTGGCCGTAGATTTGGCCTTTTCCGGCCAAATCCACGGTGGATCTGGTCGAATAGGCTATATCGGCGCACTACCGACCAAATTCAGCTGGTAGTTCGCCATTATACTAGATTTCGGCTAACTTCTAGTGGTTATGGTTGGAATCTAGCAAATGTGGGTGGGTGGGGGTGTTTTTGTTAATTTTTAAACTTTTTTTGGGGGTGTTTAATTAAATTAATAAACTTAAGAAATTTACAAATAATTGAATAAAATATAATAATATTTTCAGAATTGGAAAACAAATGTATATTTTGGAAATGATAGGAATATGGTAGGACAAAAATAGGGAAACAAACGCACCCGTGGATTGTAGATAATTATCTGAGTAATAACATGGTGTGTGCATAATTTTCAGGACCATTTTCGAAGACGGCTGTGAATTTCAATTCGGGCTGTAAGACTGCAATGTCAAACATTGTAATGGCAATATTCATGATGCTTGTACTCCTGTTCTTGGCTCCTGTCTTTAGTTATACTCCTCTTGTTGCTCTTTCCGCCATTATCATGTCCGCAATGCTTGGACTTATTGACTATGATGAGGCTATTCACCTTTTTAAAGTTGACAAGCTAGATTTCTGCATTTGCATGGTTTGCTTCTTTGGTGTCACCTTTATATCCATGGATGTTGGCCTCATGCTATCCGTAAGGATTTCTTCAGAAACTTCAATAAAACTCGTCAATAGGATCACCGATTCCATATAAGTATATTCAAACATAAATTTCCTACCATTCCAGGTCGGGCTAGCTCTTCTCAGGGCACTTTTATATGTGGCTAGGCCAGCTACTTGCAAGCTTGGAAAAATTCCAGACTCGGAACTATACAGAGACACTGAGCAGTATCCTGGTTCAATCCTGATTTCAGGGATCCTAGTTCTACAATTGGGTTCCCCTATTTACTTTGCAAACTGCAATTACTTAAGAGAGAGGTAATTGGGTGTGTGGGTGTGTTTTGGTGGAAAGATAAATTAATGTACAGAGCAAAATCTGAATTGTTCTGGTTAATTTTTGCAGGATTTTGAGATGGATTCGGGACGAAGAGAAACTGTCTGATTCAGGATCGAATACCATTGAGCATGTGTTGCTAGATTTGTCAGGTAGGATTTGATTCCTTCCACTGTCAAAAGATTAAGATTCATTCATCAAAATGAATCCAATGAGATGGATTGTTGTTAATTCTGCAGGAGTTTCGTCCATAGACATGACAGGCATTTCATCCCTCTCTGAAATAAACAGAATTCTTGAAGCAAAGCGTATAAAGGTATTCCTCTCAAAAGCCCTTAATTAATATCCATCCTTATATCGAACACTTGGGAAAATTTAGTAATAATTTTTTTTTTTTTTTAACAGATTTCGCTAATAAATCCAAGGATTGATGTAATGGAAAAAATGATATTGTCAAAGTTCACAGACATCATTGGGAAAGAACGTTTTTTCTTGTCTATTGAAGATGCAGTTGAGGCATGTCGGTTTTCACTTCAAAGAGATCAGAAACCGGACCCATTACCGGATATATCTGCTGCTAGTTAAGGGTTAGTGTTGTGGTAGTGATAGTGGTGAATAAATGGATCAGGCCAGGTGTTGCCCATAGCCCTGGAATTAGAGGTCCAATTTATTAGGATATTGTAAAGAGTAATAAAATACTGGAGTTGCATATAATTTCAACGTCTAGGACTTCAGCAAGTAAGTTTGGTGTTTATGTACCTAGTTAGGCCCAAATAGCATAGTTTTTGGTGCAAACTCGTTTGTGATCTGCACCAAAACTCTTCCATCCTGGGTCACTATTTTGTTTTGCAATAAATAAAATACTGTTAGAAAGTTTTGATCACATGCTGGCTACAACATCTTTCATCACTTGTATTATGTTGCGAGGTAGAGGAAAACATTGAAGAAATCCATTTGTTCCCCAACTATATTTAAAGGATATTGCTTATAGTCTACTGACTTGAGGCCGTGCAATATCACCTTTAGTTAAAGAGTGGCAGGTGAGTCATTGATGAAGTAATTTAAGAGTTATCTGACAAAGATTACTCTTTTCAGGTTATATCAACTTAAATACTATTTGACTTATTATTGTGATTCAATAATTTTGAAGTTGTTGAGGGAGAACAAAAATTGACTGCTTTCAACTTTTACTATTAAGTTTGTCAGAGTGTATTGAATTCGTAATCAATAATCAATCTCCCAATTTGCCTTTCTTTTTTTGTACAATCAAAATTTATCATCAAGATCAAGATTCACGATAAATACTGGTTTTTGAATAGCTAACACAGAGGATAAAAATGTTCAAGTCAAATACAAAGCAACCAGAAGAAACAATACAACATTGATTCTTGAAAAATCAAAGTCATATTTAAGTGTAAAGATTTATCAAATTTCTCAGCTAACCACATTATGCCTATCCTGCATTTTCTCAGTTCATAATCATATTGTCCCTACTCATCTTGGAACTCACAAACATATATTTGGTTGTGACCATTTTTGTCACAATCCCTTTTGTTTACAGCTTTTTCTCCTTTAATTTTGACAACTCTTCTTTTGAGTTTGAAACTTGGACTTGCTTTTCTGCTTTAATTTTTTTTTTTTTTTTTTTTTTCCTTTTTTGATTCATTCTTGCTGATTCCGAATAACATTTGCTATTTTTGTTTTAGAGGGAGGCCCAAGTTCAAAACTTCAAAATGATGTTTACAGGATGGAATATTATTCTCTTTTCCTTTTCTTTTTTTAGCCTTCTTGGGCCACATCGATACAGCTTGTTCTGGCTGTCATACACTAGAATTATTTTTCATTTTTTCAGTAGAATCTATGCGATCATATGATGATATTTTTCATGGAAATTTTATGGGGTTAATTTACACTTAATTGTTACCCCTTTATTTAAACCTTCTTGAGAGTTAACATTAAAAAAAAATTTTGACAACAGAATAAAGGAATTGAAAGGTGGCTGTTGGTGGTTCATATAGTTTAAATCTTCATCTGGGGTCACCACTGCCGTGCTTGCTTAATCATACAACGATCGAATCCTGTATTTTTATCTTGGTTGGTATGGATTGATATTTTATGGTGATTCCATTTGAAGAAGAAGAAGAGCCTTGTATTGTAAAGTCATTAACCCCACATGAAAAAGATCTGGCTCTGATAATTTATGTACTTGAAATTTGCATAGAGTTAAGTCTAATGAATGGCCCATAATTGTTGGGTTGGTCCAGAATTTAGTAAGTGGGTTCCATCGTTTCAACAGCTCATTTCTCCTTCATGAAAACCTTGACCTATATCTTTACCTGTCTCACAGCTGGGACCTATATGCTTTGCATTTTGCTTTTTAATATTAGGCTTTGAACTTTCACGGAATTTTTCACCTCCTTTTGCAGGATGACCTGTTTTAAGTTCTTTTTTGTTGCTCCCAGCCCCTGATGCATGAATGAAAGGACATTGAAAACATATAAATAATTTGCTGAAGTTTCTTGATGTTTAAGGCAGCGGCATTGTCTTATTTTGTTGTTGTTAGAGATGACAAAGTCCACAACCCATCTCCAGGTTCGGTATATTTAGGTTTTGTGTTTATTTTAAATGGTTAGATGCTTGTATTTGGTTAAATAATATAGCAATCATGGCCAATCATTTGAGATTCTGAAGCATAATTTAGAGGAAGATGATTAAAAAAATATGAAAATGGAGTCACAAGATTCAAGTGCAGAGGCAGTTGGGGAAGAAGTGAGTTGGCATTTTTCAATGTTGTGTCATGGAGTGGTTGGTTGGTTACTACAAGGTTCGCCTAAATACGCGTTTATGGCGAATCCAACTTCGGTTAGAGGTAGGTTCAGTAAAATCAAGTCTTTTGTTCTCACGTGCCCAAGGGAAAGAGAATAGTTGTGGAATGTGGGTATGGAAAGTAAAAAAGCCCAATTGGAGGAATCACATGAAAACAGAAACAGAAAAGCATCTTATCTTCAATACCAAGTCGTAATGGCACAGTTGTATTTAGGGACCACGGACCACACTGCCCTCTTATCTCTTCTCATTATTTGTCTAACAAACTCTAATTCCTCATAAATATAATAAAATCACTATTTACTCTACCAAACAAGTATCAAAGTTTGACTTGTATTAATGTATAAAATATACTTGATTTTATTGAATAGAAAAGTACACAATCATTATAATATCGTTTTACTCATCCATATATATCCTCTTTTAATATTAAGAGATATATAATACCCATTGTCCAAATATATTCTTTTTAATTTTTATTTCTTCAACTTTTATCTTAACTATCTAAAAATAAAATAAGAAGTTTGAAACTTTGTTTCAAAGTGTCATTTATCTTACTCTTCCTATAATTCAGTAACTTCTTCTGCATGCTAATTAGTTTTTTTTTTTTTTTTTTTTTTTTTTTTTTTTTTTTTTTAAGTTTTCGTTAAATATATTTAAAAAATTAAGTTGATAAATAATTAAATAAAAGAGCGCATGCCGTCCAATAAATTTACTACCCCAAAAAGCAAGTATATTTTTTAAACCACCCCACTGCAAATAAAAGCCAAATAACTTGTTCATCAATGTCATTTTAGTGGTGCATATGTATATTTAATTAAAGCTATTCTGAAAGTTTGATGATATTGATATACATTCCACACATTGTTATTGTTCGATCAGGGGAAAGAATAACTAACTCTCAAACCATTCATTCATTAAATAAATATACATGTGTGTATCGAGTGTATGATATGATACTTTTGGGAAATTATTGCCCATATTCAAATTAACAAGTAACCCATAGTTATCTGAAATTGATATTAAATCTAAATCGCCCATTAACACCATTAATTCACAGAGAACACAGTCAAGTGTCATAATCTAACATTGACAGAAGTCTAAGTACACGCTAGCTTCAACAATCAAATCTCATTCTGATCCAAATTCGAAGGAATTAGCCAGGCGGCCACCACCGAAATTGAAAGTTTAAGTGATAATTGAAATGACTCTAATTTAGAATTAAAGCACAAGCTCAATGCCATGAATGTAGCCATGCAACGGTGCCTGTCGCTATCGAAAATTGTAAATTTGAACAAAATATAAATATCAGTATACCGGATTCCAAGAGAATAACCATGTATTCCATGTGTATTGTCGAGAGATATGTATCATTTTGTATATTAAAATGATTGATATCTTCGATACCAGAGAAGCAATATATATCATATAGGCAAAAGACTTGAGATTCAGAATAATATCATCTATAGATGGTATAATTGGAATATGACCACTATTAATATATATGTCTTATCAACTCTTGATAAATATGTTAACTTATATATCTAGTTGTTACTGTTAAAATTGAGAGAGAAATTATGATACATGTCAGAATTGAGAAGACAAAAAGATAATTAAGAAAATCAAAGTATGTTAAGAGATATTTAAGAGAGCAAGAGAAACTGAAAGGGTCAATATGCCCGATAGATGTTTGGAAGAATTCAATTTAATTTATTGAGTTGTGTAAATTGTATGTAAATATATACACTATTTATATAAAAGTGTGATAACTATATAAAGATATAAAATATTACAATAATGATGCAATCTTTGTAATAAAGGAAATATAATAATATCAAAATACAATAGAATGAAATAATTCAAATATTCATTTCATATCCATATTCAACACAAAAAGTTTAAAAAGAGTATATTGGCGACATGCAATCAATCCTCTATTAAATGGATTATGGATAGACTAAGGTTATCCGTAGGTATGGGATAGGTTTTATTTAGAATCTTAGTTTGTTAAATGAAAAATAATGGCCCCATAATGTTAAAGTATCGTAAAACCAAATGAGAATTTCTATTACTGTAAGCCAGTATCATACATATTATGATTTAGTTGAAATTAACCCTTTTTTGGCTTAAAGAGCACAATAGATTTGCTTTCTCCTAATCTTGGCAAATATGGAAACCATAAGTAACATTATTATACGAACAGGGGTAATTAAGTTTATTCTGGTATTGTAAATCTTCCAAACTGTGTATATCAACATATGGGGTGTGTGGTTAAGAGGCTTTGTGTAATATTAAAAATACAGTGGCATATTATAAGATATAAATTGCAAACGTGACACCTAAATTCCTCTAATCCAATATTAAATATTTTTTTTTTATTCTACGTCAATCCATTAAGTTGATTCACTAAAAAGGGTTGCCGCTCTTGAATCTTTAGGGAGCTCCCAAGAATGATATTCCCTATCTCCAGTCATATTTAATTAATGCGTGGACGAGTTCAACCCACAAGGTGAATTTCGGTGACCCTAGAAAGTTGTGACACGTTTAAATCTAAATGCAAAGAAACCCTCTTCCCAGATGATCCATTCGCACAGTTTAAAAATGAAAAACCAAGTCTCAGAGCCAGGAAAGCTCTACAGTACTTCTCCAATCTCGAATGGATATCTACATATATTTCAAAAAGTGTCAGGTATGATGTCCTCGCCGGCATACCATTACCAGCCTTGCCATCCCTCAAGGGATCAGCTTAGCGAAACTCGCCGACCTTCCTCCGATCATCGGCCTCTGTAAGCTTCTTCTCAATTTCTTTTTCTTCTTTTTCACGCCTGCTGCTAGTTAATCATAAGATCGATATAATGGGTGAGATTTACGAGATAATGATGCACCAAATATGTAGTAGATTTGGTGCAATTTCAGAATATAAAGGTAGATGATGACAGGTTTAGAAATTCCAAACCAAAATAAAGGATGAACGATTGAGACTTTAAATTTGTGTGTATGGTTATAATGCATAGATTAATGTATCAGAGTATAAATAGTATTACTTAGATTTATATT